TTTTTGGACCATTGTGCGCTTGAATCATAATTGAGGTCGTTGTGGGCCCTCGACTCGATGTCTTTAGCAATCCCCTAGCATGTGTGGTGAGAAATCGAATTGTGTGTCCTAGTCCCGAGCCAATGGTCTAGAACTTGCCCTGAATGTTTGTTGAGGCGAAATCCTAGGTGAAATTTGACTTGAGAAGTGATTGTAGGCTCTCCTTGATCCCAATGTTGAGTTAAACAATTCAATGGCCTACCAATGAAATGATCCCTAGTAACCCTTTCGAGCCTTGAACCTTTTTCTTTCAAGAACCAATGTTACAAGCCTATACCCGTTCTAAAAGATACCCTCTCTTGGCACCCAAAATCTTCCCTTGAGTAATGGCAAATGTCTAAGTTTGGGGGAGGAGAGACAAGAAAGGAAGCAATAGTGGTAAAAGGTACGAAAGCAAAAAGAAAAAAAGGAAGCACTGATTTGAATAAAGAAAAAGACAAAAAGAAAGAACAATGCGAAAAAGAATAAAAAGGGGATACAAGGGAAAAAAAGTGAAAAAAGGCTAGAAGAAAGTAGAAAAGGATAAATGATTTGAATTGCATAAGAAAGAGTGACAATGTGTCCCTCTAACCCCTTGAAAAGAAGTGAAATGCTCAAATGAGTCAAGAAAGTGTGCCAAAATGAATCAAAGGAAGTGCTTAAGGGTAGATTGAACCCATTTGAACTAAAACATGTCCTATCCTTACCCAAAAGCCTTCGCAATGACTCCACAAAAGCCCTATATGATCTTGAGTTGAAGGAAACCTACATTAGTGGATACTTACATAAGGGGCAAGCATATGGTACCTAGAGCCGGACTTGTGACATTTTTCTTGAGAGAGATGAGTGAAAGTCCATCAACCTCGGTTTGTGTGTCAATACTCTAAAAAGGTGAGGTTCTCTTAGGGAGAGTTGAGGATGTGTGAGTTTGGGTTCCACAATGACCAAGGTATTTGAGAAAAGTTCTTTGATGAAATGTGTCAACCCTTGATGCTCTTGTGTCACACTTGATCCATATTTTTCAAAATTTAAATTGTGTTAATGATGCATTCGTATTGAGAGCAATTGTTAGTGCCAATTGATGTTTGTTGGGGTTACTTTAGGATAGCTGGAATCACTTGGATGTTCCATTATGAGGTGGGTTTTATTTTGTTTGCTTGAGGACAAGCAAAGGTTTAAGTTTGGGGAGTTGATAAGTAGGATTTTAACATGTTTTATGCCCCTACTTGCCTATGCTTTGAGTATAATTTGATACAAAATAATCCCAAAATGCTCACAGGTTGTGCTTGATTGCAGGTTAAAGCGGCAAAGTGACTGAATTGTCAAAGATCAGCTCAAAACGGAGTGAAACCTGCTCAAGTATCAAAGGCCAAGAAAAGTGAAGGAAAAAGACCCTAGTGCGGACCGCACAAAAGTGCACGCGACCGCACTAGGAGAATCATAGAAGTGCTGATTCAAGACTCTCACCACGCGGCTGCGGTTGGATTTAAGCAGCCCGCGCTCAGATCACGCGGCCGCGCCATATTTTCATTCGGTCCGTGAAGAGATTCAGAGAGATGAAGTTTTGGGACCAAAGCAAGCCACGCGCTCGCGGTCACATTTACGCGGTCCGTTCCAGATTTCATGCGGCCGCGCTACACTTTTGCGCGAGCCGCTATCCTCAACTTCAGAGAGCCAATCTTCAAGATTTCAAGAGCCCACGCGGCCGCGCTACACTTTTGCGCAGCCCGCGCTGACCCCGCAGGGGTACTTTTGTCCAACTTTTTCAGCCACTATAAATGGATCCTTTTTCCATTTTTAGGTTAAGTTTTAGATACCGAAGGCTGCTGGGCTCGTGAGAACATTGGGTTTAGCCATTTTTGGTGTTTTTAACCTCTAATTTTGTATTTCTTCCTTAGTAATCAATTATTATGTTTGCTTCTTCATTTATTTCTTTAATTTTTGCACCTAGCATGAGTAGCTAAACTCACTAGCTAGGGTTGTGGCACAACCCTAGTATGGGTAATTAATGGGTGTTGCAATCTAAGGCTAGATTGATATTGGGTGTTTGCTATTTGGGTTAAATTTAGGCTTTCATTAAGGATTGGTGGTTGCAAACACTGATTCTAGCTTAGTGGGTTTGACTTATCTTGAGAGAGAAAGTCTATGACCTCATAATTGACCCAACAAGAAATTGGGATGGACCCATGAGAAATGGTAGTCCCAATTAACGGGTTAGATCTCGAGAGAGTGATTACCCCACTTGAACCTTAGTTGCTTGGTCAACTTGGCCTACCCACTTGGTCTCGAGAGAGTCAATTGGGCAAAATCACTCTCTCTACCAAGAGGTGTGAGAGTGGGTAAAATGGAGCAACGGTCATAGCATAAGCCCTAAATAAGTCAATTTACCCTTAGTAGCATCTACCCGTTAGTTAGCCACCTAGGTAATGCCACGACCCTAGTGCCTTTCTCTATATTAATTACAACTTAGCAATATCTCCATAGCATAATTTAGCTTCAAATATTAGTCTTAAAAGTAGAAGATACAAAAACCCAAACCGAAAATGTTAGAAGTGATATTAGAAGCACAACTGCAATTCTAAACTAAGCAGATAATACAACTCCCTCTCTAGCTCCCTGTGGAAAATCGATCCCGATCCACTATCGGGTAAAAGCTGTTGCAACCCGCTCTTCCTACTTTGGTGTAGTGTTGAGTCGGCAGCGATCACATAGCCGGCGACAATGGCACTTACGCTGTTTGATGTGAGGCCAAGAGGCCTTTTGTAGGCGTTGTTTCGTCTCGTTAAGGTCTTATTTATTATTTTTCCTGACGCGTCGTCGGTTCTAAAAGAACCACGATTTCAAGTTGTAGTCGGCGATGTTTTGAGCACCTCTAAATTCATAGCTTATTGGTCGAGTAGATCGACGCTTTTGCGATTTTGGAGCCGACGTGGTCGGGACTCGTTTCTTGCCTGTTATGGGAAGCCTGTGTTTAACCGGTTCTTTCCGAAGTAGATTCGGAGGATTTTTTAGCAACAGTCGGGCGTCCCCGAGTCGCATTTTTTAGGCTGTAGCACCCGTTTCGACCGGAGTCGTGTGTGTTTTCATGCCTAAACTATGGGATTTTTCATGCCAGCTGAGGTCTTACAGTTTTCCATACCTGTTGAGGTCTTACAGTATATGGAGAATAGACCTCGTTTTGCTGAGGCTGCCCGTTAGGGTCTTACAATTTCAGATTTTCCCAGTGCGTGGAGATTGGTGGAAGTCTCCGAGTTATGAGTTTGCTTGAAGACAGCTTCTCATGAGCTCGGAGCTGTTTCCGTGGGCTTGATAAGCCCGTAGTTGTTTTTCGGGGGCTTGGTAAGCCCAGAGTTCCGACCCTGGGGTCGTGCAAGCTTGTCAAATTGCATATATTGAGTCTCCAAGTATATCGGATCAGTTTAGGCTTGACTACCCCCTTTTGTAGATTTGGATCCATATCTTGAGGGCTATGTGAGCCCGGAGTCCCGACCCTAGGGTGGGGGTGCTGAACTGCTTAAGTCTCCGAGTATATCATATTCGTTTGATGGAAAAGCATTTGCTGTGAATGTGTTGAGACAATCTTTCTCAAAACATGAAATGCCGGGAAAATACCTATTATTGCTCCGGAGCAGATATAGGCCGTGATGAAAAATGCCGAAAATATATTCTTTATTGCTTGGCCTAGATATAGGCTGCAAGTACATATAGTTTTGTTGTCATGAGCTCGACCCTCACGGGCTCGACTCCTTAAAATTGCTTGGCGTGACGTGTGATCTTTGTTGGAAAAGCCCTTTCAGTAGGAAACTCATTTTCTGGGTGAGAGTCTGTTTGCGTTGAAGAGAGGGCGATGTTCGATTGGGGGTTCCCGCGAGTATTCCACGATCAGAGGCCCTAATAGTAGTATCGCTTGAGCATCGACACATTCTAGTTGTGCGGGAGCTGCTCACCTTCCATGTTGCCAAGCTTATATGAGCCTTTGCCAATTATTCAAGGACGCGATACGGCCCTTCCAAATTCTGGTCTAGTTTCCCCTCGTTGGGATTTCGGGTGTTGAGAGTAACCTTCCTTTGGACCCAGTCCCCGATGCTGAAGTATCTGAGGTTCGTTCTCTGGTTGTAATATCTTTCATTTTTCTGCTTCTGGGCAGCCATCCGAACCAGCAAGGCCTCCCGCCTCTAGTCGAGTAGTTCGAGGGCTGTTGTCATGGCCTCGTGGTTTGTCTCCTCGCTGGCGTGTCGGTATCTAGCGCTTGGCTCCCCGACCTCTACTGGTATTAATGCTTCAGCGTCGTATACTAGAGAGAAAGGCGTTTCGCCCGTGCTTGATTTTGAAATCGTCCGATATGCCCATAATATCTCGAGTAGAGTCTCTCGCCACTTTCCCTTGGAGCTCTCTAATTTTTTCTTTAAGTTTAGGATGATAGTTTTATTTGTGGATTCGGCCTGGCCGTTTGCGCACGGACGATATGGCGTTAAAAGGATCCTTTTGATTTTGTTGTCCTCCAGGAACTAAGTCACCTTGCTCCCAATGAATTTTCTCCCGTTGTCGCATGTTATTTCGGACGGGATCCCGAACTAGCATATGACGTGTTCCCATATGAAGTTGATGACCTCCTTCTCTCTTATTTTTTTGAAGGCATGCGCTTCAACCCATTTTGAAAAGTAATAAGTCATAAACAAAATGAACCTAGCCTTACCTGGTGCCGTTGGCAAAGGGCCAACGATATCCATTCCCCCATTTCATTAATGGCCATGGTGATCGGACGGATGTAGTTGTTCGCCGGGCTGGTGGATCATTGGGATGAATCATTGACACTTGTCACATCTCCGGACGAACTCCTTGGCTTTCCTTTCATGATATCCCAATAGTAACCTACTCGGATTATCTTTCTGACTAGGGAGTCTGCCCGGAGTGATTTCCGCAGGTGCCCTCATGGATCTCTCGGAGCACGTAGTATGTATCTCCCAGCCCAAGGCATACTGCTAGGGGGCCGTCGAACATTCTGCTATACAGGGCCTCATATTTGTCAAGCGAGAACAGGTCGCTCTGGTTCGTAAGGCTCTCGATTCTTTTGGGTCGGCGGGCAGCATTATGTCCTTCAGATAGGCGATGTATTTATTTCTCCAATCCCATATTAGGCTGGTCGAGTTGACTTCCGCGTGACCTTCCTCAACTACAGATTTGATTTGTTGGACCAAAGCCCCGGGGAGTAGGTCTTCCTCCTCGGCGGATGATCCTAGGTTTGCCAGTGCATCAGCCTCGCTGTTCTGCTCTCGGGGTACATGGACTAAGGTCCATTCCTTGATGCGGTGCAAGGTGACTTGGATTTTATCCAGATACCTCTGCATTCTGTCTTCCCGAGCTTCGTAACTTCCGTTTACCTGACTTACTACGAGGAGTGAATCGCATTTTGCTTTGATGGACTCGGCTCCCAGGTCCTTAGCCAGCTCTAGACCTACAATCATAGACTCATACTCGGCGTCGTTGTTAGTTAGCTTCGCAGTTTTTATGGATTGTCGGATTACGCCGCCGATGGACGACTTCAGGACTATATCGAGTCCGGATCCTCTAACGTTTATGGCACCATCCGTGAACATGTTCCACACCCAAGAAGATGTGCATGACTTTAGTAAAAGTTCCTTCTCTACCTCGGGGATGAGGGATGGTGAAAAATCGGCCACGAAATCCGCTAGGATCTGGGATTTAATGGCCATTCGAGGTTGATACTCGCTATCATACCGTCCGAGCTCAATGGCCCATTTAGCCAGTCGGCCTGACAACTCAGGTTTGTGCAGTATGCTCCGGAGGGGATAGGTCGATAGGATGCAGATGCGGTGGCACTGAAAGTAAGGCTTTAGCTTGCGTGGAGCGCTTATTAGGTGCCAATTTTTCTAGATTGGGGTACCGGGTTTCGGCGTGCCCCAAGGTTTGACTTACGTAATACACAGGAAATTGCATGCCTTGCTCTTCCCGGACTAATACACCGCTCACCGCTATGTTAGATACGACCAGGTATAGATACAGCGTTTCATCCTCCTTGGGCGTGTGCAGCAAGGGTGGGCTTGACAGGTACCGTTTCAGCTCTTCCAGGGCGCCTTGGCATTCTGGAGTCCATTCGAAGTCGCTCTTTATTTTGAGTAGGGAAAAGAAGTGATGGATTTTTTCTGACGACCTTGATATGAACCTACACAGGGCTGCAATCCGCCCAGTCAGTCGTTGGACGGCTTTTTCGTTGTTTACCATCGTGATTTCTTCGATGGCCTTTATTTTGCCGGGGTTGATCTCAATGCCCCTATTTGAGACCATTAAGCCCAGAAATTTGCCAGAGCCTACTCCGAAGGCGCACTTTTCGGGGTTGAGCTTCATGTTGTAGCTTCTGAGGATGTCGAAAGTTTCCTGCAAGTGGGTCAGGTGATCCTCTGTGCGCAGGGATTTAACTAACATATCGTCAATGTATACTTCCATCGATTTTCCTATTTGGTGTTCGAACATCTTATTAACTAGGCGGTTGTACGTTGCTCCCGCATTTTTTAGTCCGAAGGGCATCACATTATAACAATATGTGCCATACTTTATGATGAATGAAGTCTTTTCCCTGTCCTCAGGGTTCATCTGAATCTGATTGTACCCCAAGTAAGCATCGAGGAAGGTGAGGGTCTCGTGGCCGGCCGTGGCATCGATCAGACGATCAATGTTGGGCAGCGGGAAAGAATCTTTGGGGCATGCTTTGTTTAAATCCTTATAATTTACGCACATTCTTAGCTTATTTCCTTTCTTTGGCACTATTACTATGTTGGCTAACCATTCGGGATACTTTACCTCCCCGATGGACCCGATTTTTAAGAGTTTCGTTACCTTCTATTCGATAAAGCCGTGTTTTACCTCGGACTGCTGATAAGTTGGTATTTTACCAAATTATCTTGTCTTTAAACGTATACTTTTGCTATGTTTGAGTGATAAAATCATGTATTTAATGTCATTTACTTCTATTTTACGGGGTGAATGTGATTTAGAAGTAATGGTGAAGAAACCAAGTGAAAACAAGTCAAAAGAAGCTAAAAAGAAAGAAAAATCTGGGCAATGCACTCAGGGATCGCATTTGCGAGCAACTCTAGGGAAATGCGAAGGAAGGAAAATCATGCAGTCTTCGCAAATACGAAGAGCCCTTCGCAAATGCGAAGTCAACTGGGAAAGTCAAACTTCGCAAATGCGAAGAGTCCTTCGAAAAAGCGAAGTCAATGGGATAAGCCAGCAATCGCAATTGTGAAGAGGACTTCGCAAAAGCGAAATCAACCGAACAAGTCAATCTTCGCAAATGCGAAGATAGCATCGCAAATGCGAAGTGAAGCAGTACAGGAAAAGTTGGGAATCGCGAGCCTTTGGTCACAATTGCGAAAATCGAGCTACAGGCCTGGGCAAATCTTGAATTTCACATTTTTTATCCCCAAACCATTTTTATGCACGACCAAACACATCTTTTGGCATATCTTTGGCTTATTTTCAGTAGCATAGACTAGAGAAGAACAAGTATTGAAGCTAGGGTTTTGCGCACACACGTGGGTCTTGAAGATTTCAAGCTTGTGGTTAAGGATTTCTTACCCATTTATGTTTGTTTCTTCATTTCCTTGCTTTGTATTGAATATTTAAGTGTGTAGTATTATTTCCAACACTTGAATCTTGTTTATGCAAATACTCATATTTAAAGTGTGGATTAAATACCTTGTTGTGCTTATGTATTGAATGATTTTTATTCTTTTATGAAGTGAGTTATTGTTATTTTAATTATTCTTGTTCTTTAATGTTTCCAAAGGGATTAGTTAACCCTAGGACTCGCCCATTAACTCCGAATTAATTTTGGAAAAGATAATTTGGGGTTGGGAAAGATTAATTAACAAGAACTTGAGGCGTTAACCCTCATTTTATAGATTCTACCTAGGGATATGATTGAACTAATTGTAGCCATTCCGGGTGTGCTTAATCTCTTAATTGTTTTAGGGATAATTCAATTAGGAAGTCTTGTTAGTCTTCAGAGGAAGCTAATTAAGAATTATTATCCGTGGCTAATTAACATAAACTCGCTCATATTTTTAAAATCATGAAATACATTAGATCGTTACTTGAGTGTAATTCACGATGCATTCATACTTGTAGCCATTGATAATTTATTTGCTTTCTAGGTTAGTTTACATTTCCGCATTTAGATATAAACATTCTCAAAACCAAATTCTTAGTGTTTGGCATTGCGCGATAAGCGATAATTTTCTTACATTCCAAATCGCCTACACATTGTTCTCTGTGGGATTCGACACTGACTCATAGCTGGGTAAATATATTGCATGCGACCGTGTCCATTTAATTTTTAGTAGTGGATTTGGACGTCATCAAAACTGGCGCCATTGCGGGGGAACAATTTGGCGTAATTTAGGTTGTTTGAGAAATAGGCATAAGTTCTTTGGTCCAAACTTGTGAATATTGGTGTAATTATTTTTCTTACCTTGGTCTATTTTTCTTGTTTGTTCTTGTTTATTTTCTTATTTTTGAAAAATGGCATCATATAATGAAAATTGGTCGGATGGTAGTTGTTCATACTTTGATGACCCTTGTCCTTATTGTGGAGGACCACACTCGTGGCAAAATTGTTTAAATTCTCCCGGTGGTGGATTGTGCGCACAATTTCAACCCCATGAGTGGAGTATTTGTGATAAATGTGGTTTTTAAAATGGTCATTGGGATGATTATTCTTATTTGTCCTTCACTTCCCCAAGCCCCCACTATGATGATCCTACTTTTTTTTATGAGACTTATAGGGCTATGGAAATGGAAGAAGTTGAGCATGGCCGAAATGGAGAGTTCAAGCTTATGTTGGAGTGTCTACTTGAAGAAGGAAACAAGGAGAAAAATGCCTTGGAGGAACTTTTAGAGACTGGTCTTCAAAATGACTTGGCACTTGAAAGGTTGCACTCACAAATGGATGAAATGATCGAAGCCTTAAGGGTTCAAAAAGCCTCGGAAGTGAATGATAGCCAAGAACCTTCCTTGGAGATTGAAGATGAAAATCCTTCCATGGCACTTGATCAAAACCAAGAAGAATTCTCCAATGCTCAAAATGAGAAAAGGATGCTCATGTTGGAGACCATTCTTGAAAATGAGGAGAAGAACAACTTTGCACTCGAGGAATTAAAACAAAGCTTGAATTACAATGATGACACATCCGCACTTTGGACGATCAAATGCAAATATTGGTTGAGGCTCACTATGCTCACCAACTTGAGAGTGTGGAAGAAAGCCAAGAAGAGTCCAATTCCGAGGAAGAAAGTGAGCTCTACTTTGAGGAGTCAAGAATTGAACATCCGCCAACCGACTTCATGAGTGTTAGTGATGCCAAGAAAAATATGGAATTAGAGTCAACCGGTGTAAATAAAAATTTGGTTGAGATTGACTCTAGTCCGGGGGAAAAAGAGGATGTCAAAATCCGAGAAAAATTTCAAAGTGAAGGTTTGAAGTCACATTCCAAGCATTTTTCAATATTGGAATTGTGTGGTGATATGGAAATTGAACTACACGAGTCAATGAGAGATTGCGAGGAGGAAAGGCAACTACCATACATTTTACAGTTTGAGGAAGCAAGAAAGCAAAATGACATTCCTCACATAAGAGCCAAGAAGTGCAAAATGAAGAATTTAAGGCTTGGCTTGATCATCAACTTACCATCCCCCATCGCTCGTGGTCACAAGCTTGATTCCAAGCTAGGTGTCCAGTTCATATCATCCAAGTGGGGAGAAAAGTGGTAAAGTTGTTTGCGTCGTGCCACGACGTTAAATGCGGTGCTTGGTGGGAGGCAACCCATCATTTTTTTTAATTTTTAGTCATTTTTGAATTTTATTTAGAATACCTTAGTATATTATTTGCAACTAATCTGCCAAGTTTTAGATTTTTTGGAGTTGATTTGAGCAGGTCAGAGTGACCCGGAGAGCCAAAACCAATAGGTGTTGAAAGTTGCAGGGGCAATTTTCGCATTTGCAAAAAGGCTTTCGCATTTGCGAAGTTTCCAGTCGCAATTCCCAATTTTGTTTCGCAATTGTGAAAACAGCAGGACTGAGTGACATTCGCAATTGCTAAGGGTCTGTCGCAATTGCGACTTCTGAGAGGTAAAACCAGTTTGTTGCTCATTTTGAACAAAAATTGAACAAAAATGACTTAGGCTGTAAAACTCTTGGCTTCCTCACTCTTCTCACTGTAAACTCCGTCAATTCTCACTCCTTATTGCAAGGATCCAGGTATGAAAGCTCAATCACTCTCTCTTCTTCTTCTTCTTCTTCATCTTCTCCTTTATTCTTCTTGATTTTCTGAAACCCTAGTGCTCAAATGGGTATCACCCTCTGCCCAAAATGGTTCAAAAATGTTTTCAAAACTTACATTGATTTCTGGGTGAGGTTGGTTGAGAGTGTGTGATTATGTTCATTGTAAAAAAATTGGGAAAGTCTGAGTACCCAACGCTTGTCATATAGAAGTGAAGTTTTTACGCTTTTTATGTGTTCGATAAAAGGCCCAAATGAAATTCTTGGCCGAACCATCGACATTTTCTGATTCATGGTCGTCTATGAAGTTTAATGCATGATTTATGCTTGAATAATGATTGGGTTCGTTAAAAATTACTTGGATTGAAAATTTTTAGGGCTTAAAATCTGTTCTCTGAAAAAGGTGAGGCTGGGGACGATGGCAACGCAATTGCAAAGGCTTTTTCGCATTTGCGATTTCGCATTTGCGAAAAGGTGATCGCAATTGCGAAAAACTCAACTCCCAGCTACCTTCGCAATTGCGAAGATTTCAACGCAAATGCGAACTGAGCAGACTCCAGTCTTCTTCGCAATTGCGAGGTATTTTTTGCAAATTCCAAGACTGCTGATATCGCAATTGCGATACTTTGTTGGGAAATGCCATATCAGAGAGTTTACATCTGAAAATCTGAAATCCTGGAATTTTTTCTAAGTTTGAGTTTCGACAGTCCAATCATTCTTTTGGCATATTTGAGTCATTTTGCACTATTCTTCATAGCCATACCATGTTTTCACTGTCATCACTTGTTGACAGGTACTATAATTAGAAAATGGGTTCGAACTCTGGAGGATCGTCAAGTGACAACTCCGTGGAAGCTGAACAGAACTTTGACCAAGACCGGTTCTTGTCATTGGCGTGTCAAGAACGATACTTTGAAAACCTGATCTCGAAGAAGGTGCTCCCAGAAAGCGTCATACTGATGGACGACGTCCAGGAACGTCTTCCCGAGTTCTATCAAAGGCTAATGGAAATGGGATGGAATTGTTTTGCCCCTCAACCTTGCCGAGCAAATGAGCAATGGGTGAGGGAGTTCTACGCCAACCTCCCAGCTATCCGGCTAAAAAAGCCCCAGATGAGAATTCGGGGGAAAATGGTGCACTATAGGGCTGAAACTGTGAATGACTTCT